AGAGCTGTTTTTTATGAGGTTTAGGGTGTGGTGTTTCTTTTGTTGTTGTTTTGTTTCTGATGCTTGTTTGCAGGCATTTATTGAACAGTGATAGAGTGAAATCTCCAGGAGCTAATAGGGGTTTAGGCTTCTTGCTGAAGACGCTGGGATCTATCATGCTTGTACAGTTTACCAGGGGGCAGGATATATAGAAATGGTGATTTAAGAATGAAACCATTTTCAATTTTAGTAAACTTACTCTTGAATATGTTCATAAATAAAATGACAGTGCAACGTGTAAGTGCAGGTCTTAAGTATGTAAGGTTGGTGATATAAAATATAAGAAAGACCTGTTGGACAAGTTAAAATCTGAATAAGAATAGTTACTGGCCTATGCACCTGTAGTTAGAGTTTTTGTTAATGCTTAATCGGCTTTTGATAGCTGTAATTGCCTCTTGAAATCTGAACAGAATATTTTCTTGCAGTTTGGTTCATCTGATTCGGGACAATGAGTGACTCACACTGAGAAAGCAGGAAGGTTTTTTGTCTTCTATTTTCCTTCAGTCTGTAAATAAAAATTATGCCAGAGGATGTACCAGATCCAGTCTTGAGAAATGTGACCAAAAAAAAGCAAAGTACACGTGAGGTACACACAAAGCTGCCATTGTCCTTTAAGAGCTTACATACAAAACCAAACCGTGTACTTGAAGCTTATCACCAGTCCGTGCATTTCAGTTAGAGTAATAGCATATAATTGAAATCACATTAAATGCTGGGTTTGTGCATTTAATCAAATTTCAATTTCCATACAAATGAAGCTCAGCAGACAAGAACAAACAATTAGCCTGGCAAATGAAAAGTGGCATTTCTTTGTATTAAAAACTAAAATAGATTCAAATCTATACTAGCTATGTAAATGCTAAAACCTAACATGCATCTGTAGTCTTAGTTACTTAAAGAATACCTTAAATGTATCAGACTTTACTGACTGGTGAATCTCTTTGATAAAGAGAAATTAAGTCATTGCAATTAGAAGAACATGAACTTTCATGATCAACGATTGCAATTGCTGAGTTTAATCTTTGTATTAAAGCACTCTCCTACATGGAGGCTTACATTTTAGAGGCATTAGTTTAGAGCTCTGGCTCCTCGTCTGTGTTGTTCAATGCATTTACCCACCCCTTAAATTGTGAATTGACAAGGCATTGAGGTTTTTGATACCACCAGCAGTTCATGTGGCTCCTCGTCTGTGTTGTTCAATGCATTTACCCACCCCTTAAATTGTGAATTGACAAGGCATTGAGTTTTTGATACCACAGTTCATGTGTCAGAGTTAGGAACACCTGGTTTACAGTAAGGAGAATCTTCTGCCTGTCAGGGATGTCTTCTACCTTAGAAGGCGTTGGGCTTTCTAGTCTTCGTTTTTCCACTATTGCTCTGGCGGTGAGCTTCAGTGTCTTGGAAATATAAGACTGATAATTTAGTTTTTGAAAACTTTGATGTGTTCACCTACTGCTTTACAGGAGATGTTTAGTCTACGTACCTGAGACAGGGCCTCTGGCATTTTTATTGGATGTAGCATTTCCTCAGGCTCAATTCCTTTTATATCTCTTGAATGGAGGGAGGATAAATAATCCTGTGAAGACAGTATCAAAGCGTTCTCCTTTACCCACCAGCTTATCTTCGGAGAAGTGTTTTGATGAGTAAATAGTGCTTGTAGACTAGAGAGGTGCTTTTTTGAGGTTCATGGGCAGTTGGCAAAGCAAAACAAGGAATTCATTCACTGCTTCCCATCACAGGCAGGTGTTCAGCCATCCCCAGGAGAGCAGGGCTCCATCACGCGTAACGGTGGCTTGGGAAGACAAACACCATCACCCCCAACACCCCCCCTCCACCTTCCCTCTTCTTCCCCCACCTGTATGTGCTGAGCACAACGTCCTATGGTGTGGAACGTCCCTTGGGTCAGTGGGGGTCAGCTGTCCCGGCTGTGTCCCCTCAACTCCTTGTGCCCCCCCAGGCTGCTCGCTGGTGGGGTGGGGTGAGGAGCAGCAAAGGCCTTGGCCCTGTGTGAGCCCTGCTCAGCAATGACCAGACATCCCAGTGTTACCAGCACTGTTTCCAGCATAAACCAAAACACGGCCCTGTACTAGCTACTGTGAAGAAAATTAACTCTACCCCAGCCCAAACCAGCACCAGCCCCAGTTCCACATCAGTTGGTTCTGGATCTGTGCACCTGTATTTCTGCTGAGTTAGCTGGAGCGTGCGATCTTTCTGGTTGCAGAGGGCTGAACTGTAGCTGATCTGATTTAAAGTGGACAGACAATTATTGCTTATTTGATCTGAAACTTGATGTTTCAAAGCAAACTTGTCAAATTCATTCAGAAAACTGAACAAGGTGAACTTGTATCGAATCAACACTGTGTCTCATGTGCCCATTAAGGTATCAATTTGATACTGGAAGCTCTAAAACGAGATTTAATGTGTTGAAAAGTAGTCTCAAGTAGGTATAGATCCTCTCTGCCTTTCTTTCAAATAAAACATTTGAGTAACTCATTATCCCTTATCTTTTGCATAAAAAAGAGGAAGATGAATAAGAAATTAGTTCTGGTTTGAATGCAAGGAGGGGGTGTCCTAGTCCAAATGCACCTCTGAAAGACACAAAAGGAAGCAGAAGATCCAGGTTGCAGCTGGTGTGATGCCCAGGGCAGCACACTGACCAAGGGTGTATCTGCACTGGGACTTCCCAGAGCTCAGGCTCCGTAAGGAAAACGTTCTCAGTTACACAGAAAGATTATCTGGGATGATTAAACCTGGAAGGCCTTCCTGGATCATTTTAGAGCTGCAGAAAGGTGTTTGTTTTATGAAACACGTGAAGCTGGCTGGATATTAAAGCTGGGTGGCTGGGTGTTCTTTCCATCTGTCATGAAGTCCTTCCTGTGGGTAATGCTTCTTGTAAATGTCTCTTTTGAGCGCTTTGTGGAAAATCTGGAAATTAGCGTGCTGTAAAGAAAATTTAAAAGCTGGTTGAGCCCTGTGCTGAAATACGTGATGAGTGCTGTGAAACACCTGGCATTCAACATGTAATTGGGAAAATCTTTGGAACAAAAGCTTTCTGTAAGAATGTCAGCAACCACCTTGAAAACTTAGTTTTTTTCCTGAATAAACCTAGATTTTTCTATTAGTCAAAAATCTTGTCTGTTTTGTCACTGACTAACTTAGAATATTTGGCAGCTAAAAGAGATGAAGACTTCTTGTTTCTGTGGCACTATTTAGATTTATTTATGATCTTCCCTGAGTGATTAATTAAGTTTCCAACTGTTTTGTAAGTTTTCTTTTAAATTTGAAATTACAGGTGCACAACTAGCTTTGGCAAGACTTCTTTCAGGTGAGTGACTGACTCATGGGCAGGTTATATTATCTAACAATGTGTCCCAACAAATTGGGACTGGGTTTTTTGGCCTTCACTCGACAGTAAGTTATGTATTAAGCTTGTAGAACTGATACGTGGTCTGAACCTGGTTTTTATTTTTCTTCTCCTCTTCTTGTATAACGTTAAGGAGTTTCTTGCTCCCTCTGGCCAGTTTGTAGCTCTTAACAAGCTGTTGCAGGTGAGCTGTTACCAGAGCATACGTCGTTGCTAATTGCTGATATTTCTGAAAGACCAATGTTCGTTCTGGTTGAAATGTGCTGGTGAACTGGCAGGTGGCTTGGGTTTTAGGGAAGAAGCACGATGTCGTTGTGAAAGCATGGAAGCACAGCCAGCACAGTTGACTTCTGCTTGTTGGCTCATCTCATCTGTAGCTTTTGGCAAACTACGTAATTTTTCTGTACTGCTCTGTAACCACTTGCAGAAGGATGTGGTGGTTGGCAGGATTGTTAAGGGTTAACATTGTGGAAGTGCTTTGAGACAGTAAAGTGCAGAGACTGTATAATGACACTTCGCTGCTTCAAGTGTTTTCACGTTCTCTCACTGCTTGAAGTTCGTGATGTTTTGTAAGTTTATACTATGTATAGTGCAAACTACAATTGCTGCTATTTCCAGTGTTTTACGTGCCTCCCTTCTTCCCAGCAAATGCCAGATAAATTTAATTGCTGTAAAATGAGATTTTGGTCTACTAAATTCTGTGCTGTAGCATAGCAAAGACTGCTTCTGATCCTTAAAAGAAAAATAAGCCTTTTATGTTAGAACTTCATACGTGAATCATAATCCTGCTGATGTAACCTGTCACATTGTGCGTGAACGCTGGAGGTGGTTCCATTGCCATTTTTTCGCTCCTGGGCAGTTGTTGGTGCCATTAGCTAATGTTGTATCAGTGCCTCTGCTCCAACAGCTGCTTGCTTGTAGCTGAACTTGTGCCATCACGTATTTTCTAACAATATTGAAAACACAGAATGTTTCTGCTTTAACAGCTGGTAGAAAATGTGTGGTTTTAGTGCTGCTAGGAGGAGGGAGTTGAAGATAGTTTCTTCCTCATCATTCCTTGCTGTGAGTTCCCATCAAGAGCTATGAACAGTACGGGATGTCTGACTCTAGGGACAGAAGTGGGACTGGTATTCGGGAAATTTTGCCATTCTTTTGAAGAACTGGAAGTCTTGTATGGGTGAAGAGACAGGTTTTATTTAGCATGCTCCTGGAAAATACAAAGTCTGACCATGTGTTAAGTAATCCCATTTCAGGAAAGACAGATGACGGTGTTGTGTTGTACTGTTGTTTGCCACCGCTCGTATATCTTCATTAATCCTGTTCTGCTGCTGACGGCATGACTTGTCTTTTCTGCAGTAGAGAAGCAGGCTTGAAATGTTTTAATTTTTCTGCTGTTTTGACTAAGAAATCAGCTACTGAAATGAAATGCTTGACAAGGTTGTGGAGACAAGCACCTATCCTGGGCATCCTCACATCTCCCAGATTTCTCTGTTTCTTGTCTGAGTATCCCCCAGGATTACTGGCTTCCATCTATTTTTGTGTGTGTATTTTACCTCCGAAGGCAGCTGTCCTGGCTCCTCTGTGCTCTGCCGTGGGGATGTGGGGCACCCAGGGGCCGAGGGGATGGTGTTCTCACCCTCGGCTGGGCTCTGCTGCCTGCCCTGCTGCCGCCGCTGCTGTATCTTCTCCGGATGACAGCCCACCAGTATGTGTCTGGTGGGACCTTTGTGGAAATCCATACTCCATCAGCGGCGTCTCTGAAAGAGCCGATCCTAAGCATCGGTCCTCAAGGAGGCCATTGGGTATGTCCAAACCCACCCCGAGCACAAGTGAGAGGCAGTTAGATTTTCTCAAATGATTGCATCTTGTTTCTCTTTGTGCTAAACCACAACAGGCAGCATGTAGAAGCAAAACCATTCAGATGAAAGTCTTCCAGAAACTGCACAATGATTTAGGCAGTTCAGTAATGCATCGGATGCAGGCCCTGGGTTAGCACGGCTCAGGAGATGTTGTTGGAAGTGTTTGCAGAATATAGAGATTTTCATTTTTCAGTGCAGTGGTGTCACTTTTTTCCTCTCTGCAACTGAATTGTGTAGCAATTTGTATTCCTTGGTCTGAAATAATTAGTGCATCTGACATAACGTGGTTTTAATTCACAACAATTGTTCATCTGGTCTGAGTGCTGCTTTAATAGAAATGTTTTCTACTCTTCCATGTGTCCACATTCTTCAGAGAGGAGTGTCTGTAATACAGGAAATCATGATGCTACGGCATGTAACTGGCATTTTTTTAGTGCCCATAATATTGGGATGGAGTCATCCTTTTATCTGAATCAGCCATATGTAATTGTACATAAAATAGTAATAGCATGTGTGAAATTGTAGAGAGGCAGAAGTATTCTTCGTTGTTTTTCCCCGTGTGCACGTTGGCTTGTAGTGCTGTCCTGGTGGATGCTGCCTGCAGAACCAGAGAGCTGCGGGATAGCTTTCTTCACAGGCTGTGTGCGTGACTTCCATTGAAGTCGAGCAGTAAAAATAAATTAAGAGTTTAAAAAAGTATTGAATTTCGAATTGCATTTTGCCATAACTGCAGGTGGGTGCAAAGGAAACCTGGAGCTGGACTGAGGCTGGTGTCCCACAGGCTCCAGTGTAAATTCCGTACGTGAAACAGCAACAGTGGAACTTTCTCAGAAACCTGCCACTGCGTGCTGGCATTGTGCAAAAGCGGTGAAAGAAGCTGCAGTGATTTACTGAAGAGTTGATGCATTTCTGTGAACTTGAAATTTGAATAGTTTTGATTTCAGCTTGAGGTTTTGTGTTTGTTTGATTTGGCTTTTTTTTTTCCCCTAATTTAAAAGATAGGTTTTAATTTTTTTCTCTTGCTACATTGGGCAATTGAAGCTTAACCTTTCATTCCCCTAGTCAGGGGGAAGAAAAGGTTTCAAATAAAAGCCCTTTCCCTCTTTGGGCTAAATACGTTTATTTGTATTTTATGGAGGAGGATCATTGTGACCTAAGCTGGTAGATTTTTTTGTTTGGTTTTTTGTTTGTTTGTTTGTTTTGTTTTGTTTTTTTTTAATATTTCCCCTGTGCTCATTCACTGTTAGCTGTTTGAACCGAGTAAAACTCTAAATGGGTGAGAAGGCGCTTGTCTGGCTGTAGGGTCTGTTGTTGGCGCAGCAGTCTGGCAGGTCTGTGAGTTCTGTGACCTGGATGTTTGCTCTGAGTAGGTGGTTGCTAAGAGGATGTGCTCGCTTCTATTTTTCCAGAAGAGCAGGTCTGTGCTTTGACAAGAAGCCAGAACGAGAACTGGATTTGACTCTAACATGGAATTAGAAGCCTGTCATCAATATCCTAAACCAATTACTAGGTGCATGGGTGCAGCTTTTATTGAGAGTGCGTGATGACTGGTTTTATTGTGCCTGGTCATGTTCTCTGAACGCTTAAATGTGACCTCTGTCTGGATTTAGTTTAGACGTGTGTTTCGGGGTGGTAACAACTGCAATTACAGCTCTCTTCTTGGGTTATAAACAATGAATGAGAGAATACATCCCTGTATTTTAAATTTGCTTTTAGAGATTTCTCCCTGCAAAACACTTACCTACTTGATTCTTTCAAAATCAAGGATGAGTGTTTTACTTTAAAACACCTTTTTTCTTTTTTAAAAAAAGTGCTTGTTCTCTAGACATAGCTTACCTGTGATAACTGTAGCTCGCTGAGAGGAAAACATGCTGGATTGCCCAAAAACATTGGTTGGAAACTGACAACCACCATCCAGAAGAAGGATGGAGGGTGCTGGTCTGGTGCGAAAGTGAGCCTGGGGATGACTTGGGGACCTCCCATCTGTGCCATCAGCTTAGCACTGTTCACTTGGGTAGGCAGATTTTTGTTTTTTCCCTGCGGAATGTTTTGAGGGATACAAAATGAAGCTGAATTATTAGGTTCTGGCATTTGATAGATGGAATTGATATAAAAAAGCTTTGAAAAAGTTGTACTTTTTGTGATGCTAATTAGCTCTGACAGTAGGATGATGGCAGGTAGGCAGTGCTGGCAGAAACAGGAACTAGATGTTTGCAGATATTGACGGTTTCTCGTGAAGGATGTGTTCGTATGGAAAAATTCTACAAAAGAGCTTAAGCTAGAAAGTGAAAACAGGTTCATGGATATCGAAATTGTTTTACAACTAGTTCTATGAAATGGCTCTAAATCATGTTGGACGCTTGTGCAAGTCTAGCGGGTCCTGGAGTACATAGTGATTGGAATGGAAATAGGATTCTGGGTTTATGGAGTAATCTAGCACGTAACTTCCACAGCATATTTGTGTTGAGCTTTGGTTCTGAGAAAAGCTTAAGTAGTCCTCAGTGCCCCACAAGAAGTAAGGGGGTAATGCTGTGGTGGTAGCTGCTCACAAGGTGTCTTTATCGGGAAGTTTTTACTATGAATGTCTGAGAGAAGTATTTCCCAAGCCCTGGAAGCTGGCCCTCTTGTCTGTTAAAACCACAAACATGCAGTTTAAAAAGTGGAAGTGATCTGAAATGAAGCAGTTTTTAACAGGCTGAGTTATCCAGAAGTTTTGTCCATTACACATCAGTGATACGTTACATGACAGATGACTAATACGTATATAGACCTGCGAGAATAAATAGCACTTCAAACCACAACTTTCTTCTTCTTCCCTAGAGCTCCGCTGCACCCCAGGGCAGTTTGCGTGTCGGAGTGGTACCATCCAGTGCATCCCTTCGAATTGGCAGTGTGATGGATGGCCCACCTGCGAGGACGAGAGCGATGAAGTTGACTGTCCAGGTGAGTAAAGCTGAGGAGGCTGCTCATCCCAGTGTCGGCTTGTTTTGCAGCGGTACTTTGAGTCTTTAAGATCACTTGCTTATTTTTATTTGAAAAAAAAAAAAATTTGGTTAGATTCGGAATGACTGTTTTGGTTGGTTGTATATCACTCAGACTGTGCTGAGTGACATTGTTGGACTAAGTAGAGAGCTTCTTTTATTGCTCCCTGTTCTCATTATGCTTCTTGTGCTGAAGTGGAGAACTTTGTTCTGCCAGCTAAGCAGGTGTATTTACTCGTCATAAAGTCTTGGGATCATATGTTTTCAGGAGCCTACCACCAGCAGTGGTTCTCTACGGAATCTACTGAATACTGAGCTGACTTTAAAAAACAAGCAAACAAGAATTTTTGGCTGTGAATATATCATCATAATTTTGAACATTTCAATTTGTTCTTGACAAACAGGCCAGTTTAACTCCCTGTGTGTTTTAAAGGGGAGGAACCTGTAATTTTTTTTTTTCTAAGAACAGTGAAGCAGGAATCTGAAAACATGAATTCAGCTGTGGTGTAATTTAAAGCTATCTCTACAGTGTGACTAAATTACATTCAAGAACTGTTTTAAGACGTTCTTTGCCACTAGACTACTTAATTTACTTGAGAAAGAATCAAGTGAACTTTGTGGCATTGTCACAGCATTCAGTCTGTCATTTTTATGAGTTTTGAGCTATTTTAGAGAGGTGCAGCAAAATAGTTAGCATTGGTATTTTACAGCAACAAGCTCTTTTAAATATTAATATTTTCTAGTGGAATTGGAGAAGTAAATCTAACACTCAAACTTTGAAACTGTGCTATAGTTAGCCATCGATCCAGTGTGTGCTATGCACAGATAATTAAAAGAATGTGTTCAGTGCTCTTTTTAGAAAGCTTTTGGCTAGTTTGTGTGAGTGTATATATTTGCAGCATGGGGGAGAAAACTGTTGGTAGTTTCTTCTGACATTGAAAATTAAGCTGTGCCATTGATATTCTGTTTAAAGATATTCTTTACAGTGTGGATGTCCTAAAGAAAGACACTTTTATAGTTGTGCTGTTATTCTTCCTCCTTTTTTAGCTAACTTTGGCCAAATGTGAAGAACAGGGGACCCAATAAAATTCTGGAAGTTAATGGAAGTCAATGTCTAGAGGAAAGCAGAGTCATGTTAATGTTTGGATTTACTCAAAAAAACACTGAAGGCTTCACTTGGTGGGAATATTGGAACATCCCCATTCGTAGGAAACAGTGGTTTTATCTTCTCTTGTTGTTTAGTGTATTAGTCAGCAATTGAAGTTGTTGCATGGAGGATGCAACAGAATGATGTTGAGTCGAGGGCTGGAGTTACAAAGAATATTTGGTATACGGTTGGGGTTTTAGGCAAGTAACATTTCTCAGTAGGTAGGCTCTGCTTTTGTGTTTGAGGTGCAAGTCTCTGTGGACTGCCTGGCCTGACATGATGAGAAGAACTTTAAGCTAAGAAATGAAAGGAGATGTGGGAGAGACGTAATTCATCGCCATGTCTGTGCGCAGGAGGAGGAGGATAACATGCGTAAAGAATACTAGAGGGGAAAATGATGGACAGCATAGAGAAGGAAAGTATTGCACTTGATGAGAAGAGTAATTGGATAAGTAATTGGTGAAAAGGCCAGTAAAACAGCCAGAGAGCTGGGTGTGGCGTTCATGAAAGAACAGAGATATTTGCACAGCAATGCAAGGAGTGTAGCCAGCAAACCAGAGGAACAAGAACTACTGGTGTAGGATGTAAAAACTCTGTTATACCTGTAACAAAAAATTGGTGGGATAGCGTTCTGACCTGAAATGGGTGTTGAAAGGCATGTATTCAGAACTGTCAAGAATAAGGACAGGTTGGTGTGCTGATGTGCGTGTGAATGGCATGCTGGAGTATAAAAAGGAATAGCAGGGATGAAAGTAAATCTGAGGCCAGAGTGAGTTTGGAAGAACCCGGTTTTCTTATGTTGGGGAAAGCGCAAATGTGACCAGTCATAGGAGAGGCTAAGTCCTGGGATGTTGATTGGGGAGCTAATGCTACTAATAATAGTAACACACAGTCATGCTCAAGAGTGATAATTTTCTTCTTTGGTCACTGAATTAACAATAAATGATGCAGCTTTAAATTTAGAAAATACCCTTGGATTTAGATGAGCAATCATGAGATGATTCAGCTAAATTTAAGTACTTTTTAATTAAGGTTCTTAATTTCAATAAAGGCAGACTGAACACTAAAAGAACTAGTTAGTGAAGCGACCTGGACTTGTGAAACTTGGAGAATTAAAATATTTTAAAATTAAAAGGTATGGAATCTCTCTGAAGCATGAAAAGAAAGCTTGCAAGAAAGGGCCCTGAGTCTGGTTGGGAAGCTTGTTACTTTTCAGGCTTTGAGCTACTAATGGCACACTCCAACATGAGCAACTCGGAAAAGATCGATGGCAGTGAATTGGGGTTTTGTGGTGGTGATGAAGGTGTGTTTCAATGACTGCTGAGTCATGTTGGTATTTTCAAAGGTTTAATACAAAGCCATGGTAAGTTATTTGGTACTGTTGGTTTAGTTCACCCTCTTTAGGCCTGATTTCATTCATGTTAGTAACAAAGCTATTAAAATAAGAGGGTCATTAATAAATAAGTTACTTTGATAATCTCATGTTGTCTGAAGTACAAGAAATGCACCAAACCCAATTAGGTAAGACATTAATACACTGACAGTCTGAATAAGTGTACGAAATACCTGTTTCTGCTAGACCATCTATTTCTGTGAAGACGGTAATCATAGCTGGTTTTATTCTTACTGCCTCTTTTCAGAATGACCATTTTCCTTTAAAACATATGATTCCTTTCAATCCCAAACTTGAGATGTGTAAAGTGCTATTCCCCCTGCTTTTCCCACTAGGCACGCAAATGTAAGTGGAATCTGCAGCAGTCATTGCCCTCAATTCATCTTCCTGGTAGACTAAAACCCTTGGCTGCTTGCTCTTGTGAGCATACTGAAGGTTGCTGAGAGGGTTTATGTGGCATGCGCCTGCAGCTCTCTTCTGCTTGAGCAGCGGAGGCTCAGTAAATCGGTGAACTGTTCCCTATCAGCAGTAATTGATCCTAAAAATGGCTTATCCCAAATGGTGTATTCTGTGAAATGGTAGAAACAGGCATTAATATCTTGAACAGGGACTCTTAGAGATGGCAATTTCTTATTTCTACTTACTGCCTCTTATGTTTCTGTACAAGTAATCAAAGCACTAACATAACTCTTCTGCCTCTATAGAAGTCCTGTATTTAAACCCGTAGCAAGGAAGGACTCAGCAGTTTGCCTTTTTACTGCACTTTGGATTTCCAGCTTTGCTCCCACCAGAATACCAGCTCAGCTTCTACAAATATTCTACCTTTTATGCAAGCCTTCTGGTCAAAACTAATTTTCAGCAGTGAAGTGGAGCAGGGTTGGTGTAGCTCTGGCTGTTGACCTGTGCTTTATTCTTATGCTGCAGGCTCCGTGTTTGTTTCTGCTACCTATGAACAGAGAATGGATGTCTTAAATTCCAGTGCCTTTCATGAATCCTGTCCCTACCAGTTTTTCAGCTTGCTGTTATATTGGTGATCATTCAGTTTCCTTCCTTCATTTATTTATGTTTTTAAATTGAATTCTTCCCAGGAATAAGTGATTGGATTGTGCTGTCACCTGTCCTTGGGCTTCGACCAGCATCTGAATTTGAAAACCTTCAGCTCACCCTGTAGTGCACACCCT